AAGTTTTTCTCCGCGTTTACACAAGTCACTGTTGAGGGAGAGAAAAACAATATTTTGTCTCAATCTTCTGTCTAGTTTGTCTATTTTTCATGATAATTCCCTGGCCACCGTTCAATTCAATACATTACTTAATTTTTGAGATAGTTTGTCCTCCATGACTATCGTTTCCGAGCAAAAAGTGTGGAAAATGGTCTGTTTGGAGTGGGACTGCACTCTCGCCAAGTTTTTCTCCGCGTTGACACAAGTCACTGTTGAGGGAGAGAAAAACAATATTTTGTCTAAATCTTCTGTCTAGTTTGTCTATTTTTGATGATAAATCACCTGGCCGACGTTCAATTTAATGCATTACTTAATTTTTGAGATAGTTTGTCGACCATGACTATCGTTTCCGAGCAAAAAGTGTGGAAAATGGTCTGTTTGGAGTAGGACTGCACTCTCGCCAAGTTTTTCTCCGCGTTTACACAAGACACTGTTGAGGGAGAGAAAAACAATATTTTGTCTAAATCTTCTGTCTAGTTTGTCTTTTTTTCATGATAAATCACCTGGCCGACGTTCAATTTAATGCATTACTTAATTTTTGAGATAGTTTGTAGACCATGACTATCGTTTCCGAGCAAAAAGTGTGGAAAATGGTCTGTTTGGAGTGGGACTGCACTCTCGCCAAGTTTTTCTCCGTATTGACACAAGACACTGTTGAGGAAGAGAAAAACAATATTATGTGTAAATCTTCTGTCTAGTTTGTCTATTTTTCATGATAAATCACCCGGCCACCGTTCAATTTAATGCATTACTTAATTTTTGAGATAGTTTTTCCACCATGACTATCGTTTCCGAGCAAAAAGTGTGGAAAATGGTCTGTTTGGAGTAGGACTGCACTCTCGCCAAGTTTTTCTCCGCGTTTACACAAGACACTGTTGAGGGAGAGAAAAACAATATTTTGTCTAAATCTTCTGTCTAATTTGTCTATTTTTCATGATAAATCACCTGGCCACCGTTCAATTTAATTCATTACTTAATTTTTGAGATAGTTTGTAGACCATGACTATCGTTTCCGAGCAAAAAGTGTGGAAAATGGTCTGTTTGGAGTAGGACTGCACTCTCGCCAAGTTTTTCTCCGCGTTTACACAAGACACTGTTGAGGGAGAGAAAAACAATATTTTGTCTAAATCTTCTGTCTAATTTGTCTATTTTTCATGATAAATCACCTGGCCACCGTTCAATTTAATTCATTACTTAATTTTTGAGATAGTTTGTAGACCATGACTATCGTTTCCGAGCAAAAAGTGTGGAAAATGGTCTGTTTGGAGTGGGACTGCACTCTCGCCAACTTTTTCTCCGTGTTGACACAAGACACTGTTGAGGAAGAGAAAAACAATATTTTGTCTAAATCTTCTGTCTAGTTTGTTTTTTTTGATGATAAATCACTTGGCCGACGTTCAATTTAATGCATTACTTAATTTTTGAGATAGTTTGTAGACCATGACTATCGTTTCCGAGCAAAAAGTGTGGAAAATGGTCTGTTTGGAGTAGGACTGCACTCTCGCCAAGTTTTTCTCCGCGTTTACACAAGACACTGTTGAGGGAGAGAAAAACAATATTTTGTCTAAATCTTCTGTCTAGTTTGTCTTTTTTTCATGATAAATCACCTGGCTGACGTTCAATTTAATGCATTACTTAATTTTTGAGATAGTTTTTCCACCATGACTATCGTTTCCGAGCAAAAAGTGTGGAAAATGGTCTGTTTGGAGTGGGACTACACTCTCGCCAAGTTTTTCTCCGCGTTTACACAAGACACTGTTGAGGGAGAGAAAAACAATATTTTGTCTAAATCTTCTGTCTAGTTTGTCTTTTTTTCATGATAAATCACCTGGCTGACGTTCAATTTAATGCATTACTTAATTTTTGAGATAGTTTTTCCACCATGACTATCGTTTCCGAGCAAAAAGTGTGGAAAATGGTCTGTTTGGAGTGGGACTGCACTCTCGCCAAGTTTTTCTCCGCGTTTACACAAGACACTGTTGAGGGAGAGAAAAACAATATTTTGTCTCAATCTTCTGTCTAGTTTGTCTATTTTTCATGATAAATCACCTGGCCACCGTTCAATTTAATGCATTACTTAATTTTTGAGATAGTTTGTAGACCATGACTATCGTTTCCGAGCAAAAAGTGTGGAAAATGGTCTGTTTGGAGTGGGACTGCACTGTTCGCCAAGTTTTTCTCCGCGTTTACACAATACACTGTTGAGGGAGAGAAAAACAATATTTTGTCTCAATCTTCTATCTAGTTTGTCTATTTTTCATGATAAATCACCTGGCCGCCGTTCAATTAAATGCATTACTTAATTTTTGAGATAGTTTGTCGACCATGACTATCGTTTCCAAGCAAAAAGTGTGGAAAATGGTCTGTTTGGAGTGGGACTGCACTCTCGCCAAGTTTTTCTCCGCGTTTACACAAGACACTGTTGAGGGAGAGAAAAATAATATTTTGTCTAAATCTTCTGTCTAGTTTGTCTATTTTTCATGATAAATCACCTGGCCACCGTTCAATTAAATGCATTACTTAATTTTTGAGATAGTTTGTCCACCATGACTATCGTTTCCGAGCAAAAAGTGTGGAAAATGGTCTGTTTGGAGTGGGACTGCACTCTCGCCAAGTTTTTCTCCGCGTTTACACAAGACACTGTTGAGGGAGAGAAAAACAATATTTTGTCTCAATCTTCTATCTAGTTTGTCTATTTTTCATGATAAATCACCTGGCCACCGTTCAATTTAATGCATTACTTAATTTTTGAGATAGTTTGTCCACCATGACTATCGTTTCCGAGCAAAAAGTGTGGAAAATGGTCTGTTTGGAGTGGGACTGCACTCTTCGCCAAGTTTTTCTCCGCGTTTACACAAGACACTGTTGAGGGAGAGAAAAACAATATTTTGTCTCAATCTTCTATCTAGTTTGTCTATTTTTCATGATAAATCACCTGGCCACCGTTCAATTTAATGCATTACTTAATTTTTGAGATAGTTTGTCGACCATGACTATCGTTTCCGAGCAAAAAGTGTGGAAAATGGTCGGTTTGGAGTAGGACTGCACTCTCGCCAAGTTTTTCTCCGCGTTTACACAAGACACTGGTGAGGGAGAGAAAAACAATATTTTGTCTCAATCTTCTGTCTAGTTTGTCTATTTTTCATGATAAATCACCTGGCCACCGTTCAATTTAATGCATTACTTAATTTTTGAGATAGTTTGTAGACCATGACTATCGTTTCCTAGCAAAAAGTGTGGAAAATGGTCTGTTTGGAGTGGGACTGCACTCTTCGCCAAGTTTTTCTCCGCGTTTACACAATACACTGTTGAGGGAGAGAAAAACAATATTTTGTCTCAATCTTCTATCTAGTTTGTCTATTTTTCATGATAAATCACCTGGCCACCGTTCAATTAAATGCATTACTTAATTTTTGAGATAGTTTGTCGACCATGACTATCGTTTCCGAGCAAAAAGTGTGGAAAATGGTCGGTTTGGAGTAGGACTGCACTCTCGCCAAGTTTTTCTCCGCGTTTACACAAGACACTGGTGAGGGAGAGAAAAACAATATTTTGTCTAAATCTTCTGTCTAGTTTGTCTATTTTTCATGATAAATCACCTGGCCACCGTTCAATTTAATGCATTACTTAATTTTTGAGATAGTTTGTCGTCCATGACTATCGTTTCCGATCAAAAAGTGTGGAAAATGGTCTGTTTGGAGTGGGACTGCACTCTCGCCAAGTTTTTCTCCGCGTTTACACAAGACACTGTTGAGGGAGAGAAAAATAATATTTTGTCTAAATCTTCTGTCTAGTTTGTCTATTTTTCATGATAAATCACCTGGCCACCGTTCAATTAAATGTATTACTTAATTTTTGAGATAGTTTGTCCACCATGACTATCGTTTCCGAGCAAAAAGTGTGGAAAATGGTCTGTTTGGAGTGGGACTGCACTCTCGCCAAGTTTTTCTCCGCGTTTACACAAGACACTGTTGAGGGAGAGAAAAACAATATTTTGTCTCAATCTTCTATCTAGTTTGTCTATTTTTCATGATAAATCACCTGGCCACCGTTCAATTTAATGCATTACTTATTTTTTGAGATAGTTTGTCGACCATGACTATCGTTTCCGAGCAAAAAGTGTGGAAAATGGTCGGTTTGGAGTAGGACTGCACTCTCGCCAAGTTTTTCTTCGCGTTTACACAAGACACTGGTGAGGGAGAGAAAAACAATATTTTGTCTCAATCTTCTGTCTAGTTTGTCTATTTTTCATGATAAATCACCTGGCCACCGTTCAATTTAATGCATTACTTAATTTTTGAGATAGTTTGTAGACCATGACTATCGTTTCCGAGCAAAAAGTGTAGAAAATGGTCTGTTTGGAGTGGGACTGCACTCTCGCCAAGTTTTTCTCCGCGTTTACACAAGACACTGTTGAGGGAGAGAAAAACAATATTTTGTCTAAATCTTCTGTCTAGTTTGTCTATTTTTCATGATAAATCACCTGGCCACCGTTCAATTTAATGCATTACTTGATTTTTGAGATAGTTTGTCGTTCATTTTTATGTTCCCTTTTGAAATCTAAAAATGTTCCTTATGACATTCCTACCATTTCTTAAACAAAATTTCAATCTAATATCAAACTGTGGTTTTTGAGTAATCGGCTCCACAAGGACTCATTGTGCTAAATGGAGCTTCACTTAGGCAGGTTATCTGTAATCCCGGGTGGTGACCATAGACATATAATGATGTCTACGGTGGTGACCATAATTTGTGTAGCGCGCCCTCTTTTGAAAAAAAAGAAGTAAATTGGTAAAGTGTGCCAAAGTGTGCGGTAAATTATTATTTTGAAAGCAAACACTTGGTGGCGCTGTATTGGCGGGAACATGTGAACATGGCGTACCCAAACGTGATGACTAACGTGATGCACGTCGACGCGCTTTCGTTTACCGACTTTCTTCGTGCATTGTTGCCATACCTCAGTTCAGTTAAATGCAGGTACTGTATAACCTTAATAATGCTTGGTATTCAGCCCTTATGAACGAATTTATTGTCATTAAAATTTAGTCCGAAATTCCAAATCGGTGGTGTCCGGAAATTGGGCACAAATCGACCAAGCGCTATAGACTAGGCCTATCTTTAGCTGTCTAGGGAAAGATTTCCATACCTGGCTATCACTATTTTTTCCTGCAGTGACCTATCAGCCATCGGAAAGTGATAATTTGTCCCAAAAAGTGAAGTGTAGCAGGGAAAATTGATTGAATGTTGCAACCTGGCGCCACTTCAGCGGTTGTGTACAAATGTCTACTATGGAGAGTCAAGAAATTTGTTAACATTAACAAAATTGGAAATGTTTCTCAGTCCCAGGTTCATGTGTTATCATCATTTTTGGGATTTCAAGAAAGTTGCATCCTGACGCTACTTTCGAAACAGAAAAAAAGACATTGCTTTTGCTTATCTTGTATATTCGGACTCCCTATTATTGCGGCATCCCTAGTAATAGTATTATCGCGGTATGGGAAATTTTTCTTAATGCGTTGCCAAACTCCTTCAAAGTTCAAGTGGCGATTTTTATCCAGTTCACCAGTCATTAAGGACTTTTTTGCCGAGTTATATAATAAGGAAAATTCAAAAATGTTGTGTACATATATTTTTAACATAAATCTTTAATGGTGCTTTGTCCATGAAAGTTCCAGTGCCTGGTTCCCGTTCTTCAGCTGTAAATGTAAAATGAAAATGACGGACGATTATTTGCACCGTGAAATGGTTAAAAAACTTTTAGTGGATCAAAATAAGCACAGCTCGTTAACAAAAATAAAACGGCACACGGAGTAAAGTGAATGGCGCCCTCAATCGCCAATCAGTAGACTTTTCTCAGTGATTTGTGTTCTTTCGGGGGAAGGGCAGGGTCTTAAGAAATCCTGCAGACATATAGTCTTTAATCAACTTGAACGTTACAGGGAAAATATCAGACTTTATTCAGGGGATGTTTTGGTCAAACATTAACTATGAATAAAAAAGTTGAGATCATTATAAAAACCACTTCCCGCATACTGCGATAATAGGGAGTCCACCTCCGTTTGCACACTCCGAGCATGTCTATTTTCACAGGCATCGTACACTGAAAAACCACACCACCGTCGGATTTTTTTATATCAATTTGAAAAGGAAGAGTTATGCTACACAAAAGACAGGACAATTCGGGAAGGTTAATGGGCAATCTCTATTCCGAACGAGAAACGTGATAAGTACCGCAATAATATGGCAACCCATCCTACCTCAGAGTGTATACTTTCATGTGAACTGTAACTAGTGACAAAGATGAAAGTGTCCATTGGTTGACTCAGTGAGTGCCACAATTAAAGGACCAATCAGATCAATCGATAGAAGCAGCCCTTGGTAAATGCCGAATGGAATGGGGGAAACCCGAGGAAAAAACCTCTAAAAGATTGACTATCAGGAAGTTGCTGTCTGGCCTCGGTCTGCATCAAACATGCACACCATAAACCATAGTATACATGGGGAAATATGCCATAGTATCTCATTTTTATGCGACTATTAAATTATCTTTTTGGGTATATTTTGTGATTGAGAATAACGGTTTTTGAAATACAGTGGAACGTACGCCGCTATAGTGAACACCGCGCTATAGCGAACATCATCCTTGGCGCCCGGTTTTAATGTACAAAACGTACCAAACAGTGTTGTTGAAAAAAGTCAACAGATTAACAAAAAAAAACTACCGGTTGTACATGGATTAAACACTATTTGAGCCAGTTTTAATTCCCGAACATCAAACGACCCATAGTTACAAGAGGGGTAGATGGCTATTATTTCCACAAGGAATAAACTCCTTGTGTGGCCGCGGAATGTGAGAAATGCCAGTTCACTATTGGTCAAAAGAGGGTACCAAACGATCGTTATTTCGAACACTCTCTGTGGATCCCTTGAAGTGCGTTGGGCCCAAAAAAAAAAAATGGTGTGTTTACGGTAACCCGACCGACCTGGAATTTTTTCGGCCAAATTGCTGACCTCAAACTTTTTATTGCCATTTTGAAGGTTGATATATGATCATTTTAAATGAACAAATTTCAACATTTCAAGTACTTTTAATTATTTGCCACGAACATAGACCATTTTCCACACTTGAAACTGACCATGATTTGACGCAAACATACCTTTGTTAAACGTGCGAAAATCGCGATGATCTCAAAACTTGAATTCTCAAACTACATGAAGTACGATTATTTTTGCACAAACGCATCGGGGTGAACTGGTGCGCCTGGCCGACGGCCGGCAAGGTTCTCCCCACGTACAAACGTGCGTACTGCGAGTCGGCCCAACACAAATGCCGGTCACATTTTTCAGCCCCCGATATGCACAATATAATTATTATTCATGCCATTAAAATGCACAATATAATCGTTACATACGCCATTATTTCATCTTGTTATGCAAAATCTTGACCAAAATCCTGTTTTTCTGATTCATGTTTGATCAAAATGCACACGATGGCGGGTCCTGTCGACCGCCAGCTGACAGGCATGCAGCGCATACAACATGGCACACTGGTTCCTTCCGCGTGCCCTTAAAAAGCGGACCCCACACCATGGATTCGCAGGTTGTTGAATCACAGCAAAATTTTTCTACAGGTTTGGAAAAATCCTGGGGAGAACCCTGCAGGACGGTACGAATTAAATTGAAAAGAAATGTATCGATTAAATATCTTGAATGCTTGAATACCGGTAATGTTTTTAGACAAATATTTTGCGAAAGAACACGCATGAGCATGCAGAACTGAAATAAAAAAATATTACAAAATAAAATTAATTCCCGACCTACCTACCTGGATTTTTTCAGACCGTTACCGTAAACACACATTTTTTTTTTTTTGGCCTCATAGTGGCGTTTCACTGTAATGACAGTTTTACCAAATAATGAAATTTTCGTGCAGCTGCCGCGGGGAGGTGCGGGCGGTGGACTCAAATCTAAAACCTTCATTCTCGTGGCCTTGTGTAGAATGCATCAGCAAATCTAGCTGGAGTTACCTCAGCCCTATATTTTATCATTGGGTTGTCCTTTAGGGCTGGAGGAAATCCTCAAAGAGGATTATAGCTTCTCTTAAACTTGAATTCCAAAATGTGCCAATTTTGTCCCCATGACACACTAATTCCCCTTAGGGCTCACCAAGCCTTGTCAGACATAAATAATGATCAACGATGAAGATTCATGTGATCGCTGGCCACGTTTCATGTAGGGGACGTCTACAATATGTCCATTTCCAGCAACTTCGCTGTTTAAATTCAGTTCAAATTTGAAGGGTACCCATTGGTGCATCCATTCTTCATGGCTAACGTTACTTCTTTTATTTCTTTGCCTGTTTATGCTAACAGGGGACGACATGACCAGTATCGTGGAGATTGTCTTACCCCCCGCCTTTGGTCAACGACTTGAAGGAGTGGCGGCAATATCTCCTTCCATCGGTTTGGGTTTGCATCCATGCTGCAGACATCAGTTTGTCCTGAAAGGCAGTGGGTTCTGGATCGACAACTCACTACTCCTTCGTGAATGGTAAGTCGGCACTTGTCTCCGCTATAATCAGCATCTCTTGAGGCTTGTTGGAACCTAGACCCATAAAGATGGCCATATACATAGCCATGCATTGTTCCATGTCTGGACTTTTGAAAGCCCAGACGAAGACATTCTATTTACAGTCCCAAAATTAAACGAACACCGGCATGTTCCGTTCTTACGTAAGAGGTTGCACAAGAACTTCCGTTGGCACAGGATCTGTCATTCCCAAGAAATCTGAGGGGAAAAATGGAGCCGGATTATTATGAACGTGTGGGAATTTTGATTTATTTATTAATTATGGCCATGTTTAGGGGTCCCGGTCGCACCCTCCTAGAAAATATATTATATTAGTGTAGCCAACTTGAAAACTCTGGACGAACTGGACCATGATCATTTGGTTGAAACAATTTACTAAAAAAAAGACAATAAACAGCTGTGTCTTTTAATTTTTGATGACCTTTCATTTAATCTAACTCATGTCACCTTAGCAATCTTATAGTTCTCATCAAATTACAGGTTACCACACATGCACTGAATATATTAATTACTAACGACTGTTTTCCCTGCTTAGTTTTGTTTAGCACATAAATTTAGTAGGCATCGTTTTTTGGCTTGGCTGTGCAATGAGAGTGGGCTCTTCAGTGCTTGATCTGTTTTAATTAGGTTGCCCAAAAAGTGCTCGATAATTGACAAAACCTGGATCCTTTGTGCGCCCATTGTTATTTGGAATACTCAGGAGAATACCGAGAATAACTAAGAATACCTGGTCGCTTGACATGAGGTTTACTCATGCTTATCCCTGGGGACGCAGCCCAGGCCCCCCTCCCGGCCCTGCATGGCTCTAATTTTGTTCCTCTCATTATTTCCTACAGACACCTGTCTTCCCAGTTGGTGAGCAACATGAGACAGTGTCGGGAAGGCAGCATTTCATAGTGCGCAGATATCGCAGGAGTGGTCTGGAACCCTGGAGCCACCGTGCAAATGGCACAAATCCAGAGGTGGGTCCTAGTCTCAAGACGTCAAGATTATTGGTCTGTGGCCGGCAGTATTGCTTGTGTCTATGGGAAGAGGATTCGATCAGCCTCTTTCATTTTAGGAGCACGTATTGCCGGCCATAATAAAGACACAGGGCTCTGTGCACAAACAAAAGAGGGCGCTTTTTCATCACTTTGGAGAGCCCAGTGGATGGGCCATCATGTGTATATGTACTAATTCACACACAGCGCGAAGTAGGCATGACTAACTTTGTTCTGAATGTGCAAGAGTACTATAGCGTCTTCACACGAGCGGCAGGCGTCTTTAGCAGTGCATTCAAATGTATCGTCCAGTGGTCTCCCCCAACTCTCCATTTCTTACCGTTGAGGGGGTACTTGTGTACGGAGCTCATGGCCTGCCACAATGAACATATTATTTCCTTAATGGATTAAAAATTTGCAGTAGGCCTAAATGTTTCTTAAGGCTAAGTTCAGTGTATTTCTAAACCAACTGCATGCCCAAATTTTTGAAGTTACCAAAAACATTACATTCTCTTAGGCCAAAAAAAAAAGGCTCCGGTTTCTGGTCTGCGTGCGCGTTGCCGTAACCATGTGCCTTGGCAAAATTAAAAAGTTTTTTTTTTTCAATGTAAGATGATGTCTCAAAACCGCCAAACTTACAGTCCTTGGGATGAGAGCCCGAAAACGTTTTAGTTTTCGAGATACGCGATCTGGTCCGCCAAATTTTATAAAACTTTCCAGACATGTAGTTTATGATGTACCATATCAAAAAACTTTGTTCCCCGATCCACAGTTTGTTTGAGAATGAGAAAATCTGGGATAAAAACGCCGAAAATTCTGCATGAAAAAAAAACTTAAGAAATAGTGCCCTCTATTGACACAGTCAGAAACCTTTTCGCTCGCAATGAGTGCTTGCCAGATAATATAGGTTTTCCTGCTATTTTAAAACGCTTATCGTTTATTTCTAATATTCAAAGTTGTCCATCAACATCGATTTAGTGCACTGCCAAAGGTTTAATTTTGTCTGTTGTCAGACAATTTTAAATTCAGTTCAAGCAAATTCAAACGATGAACACATGTTTTCGTCACTGAGTTTTTAATTTTTCGTCTCGTCTACGCCAAACCTTGTCATTCAGAAATTAAATTCGTCTAATTGATTTACATGTACATAAGATGAATTCGATCACTGAATGCTGCCATTCGGCAACAGATTTCTTCTCAAGTTTTGCACAATACCAAGTAACTAGACAGAATACAAATAACAGCTTGCAGATTCCCACCTCTAAAACAGAATATTATTCTCAAGGTTTTGCAGTCACTGGAGCCAAACTTTGGAATAGTTTTCCTGCCCAGCTTAGAGTTACACGTTCGCTTCCTGTTTTTAAGACTGAACTTTTAATTACTTATATTAACATTTTTAATACTTCTATAATTTTAGGTTTTTTTTTCTTTTCTTTTCTTTTTCTTACATCTACCAGTTTTTATGTGCGTTTTTTTGTTTAATAAGTATTTGTATTTGATTTTAAATAATGTTTGAGTATTCTTTATGTGTTCTTGTTTTACTGGAATCTGCTTAAACGTCATATTTTTTTAAGGGATATATGTTTGTTTTATATTTTATGCATATATATATATATATATATATATATATATATATATATATTAAAATTTTTCCCGTAATGAAGTCCCTCTGTCTGTTTGTTTGTTAACTCAACTGAACTTCTAGTTTCGGTGTGTTTTTTTTTTTCTTTTTTTTTTCGCTTGTTCCTTTTTGCGCTCTGTTTTAATAACGTTATTTTACCGAGGGAATGTTGATTTGTTTTTCTTTTATCTTTTCTTAGTTTTTGCTTTTTATTTGTGTTAAGTGCATATAATTTTAAGCCTTCAATTTTGTAAATTTCATATTATTAGTTGATTTTAATGCAGGGCCCTAATGAAAACCAGCTTTTTGCTGTTGGGTTTACCCTGGATTAATAAAGATATAAATAAATAAATAAAACAGCTTAGACAAATTTGATCTGTACTGATGAATATTCTCCGAAATTGAATGTTAGAGTTGGTGAATTTGAAATTAAAATGTTTTAAAATAGCCAGGAAAACCTATATTTCTTTCAAGTTTCATGTTACATGCATATTCTTGATTTGTATTATTATTTCTCATCAGGATGCCGAACCTTTTTTCCAGTTTGTCCTTGAAATAATCAATGCACTTGAAGTTTTAAGATCGAATGTTATGTATTAGCCACCAAAAAAATGATTAACCGTACACCCAGATGAGAATCTCAGGGTAACATCTCTCAGTTCTGCCCCCCCCCCCTTTTTTTGGGGGAGGGGATTTGTCGAAAATCCAGAAATGAATTTTTTTAACAGACTCCCTCCCCCCTTTAAAATAGCAGTGACACAGAATTTTAAAAAGGGATTATATACATGTATAACAGATAAGTTACAATATTACAAAACCACCCAAAAATTACATCTCATGTTCCCATACATTACATGTACTTACAATTGATTTGTAGTTTTGATTACACTTTTATAACAAAAAATGACTCATAAAAAATAAATTATTCATAAATAAAAAGACAGCAATAACTGCACATCTTTCTTTTTTTATATTCCAGGCACAATGTGGTTCAAGTAATCACCTAAAGAAATACTAATCGTAATATATTTTATATAATCTAATTTTATTTCAATTATTTATGTTTTTGTGGGGGGCAATTAAAACATGCAGTTTTCACCCACACAAGAAGAATGGTATTTAGATGACATAAGTTTGTTCAATCTGTACTGAATGGCCATTTGACTCGTATATTTTCAACTGACAAAATGTATACATCACAGACCGATTACATAAATTGTTGTATAAAATATGTCAAAAGTCTCGTCACAAATTAAGGGACCCACTTTCTGTTTGCAAACGTTTTTAAGAGAAAATGAACTTATATTCCCTTATTTGGAAGCTTTGAGTGGCAGCATTACAACTGCTATTATTTTGTTTCAGCTGAGTATCGTTTTTATTATTTTGAACATTTTTTAAAGAATTGATTGATGTTTTGTTGTTGCTCCATCCATTCCGTTAAAACCACTCAGTAAACCCCAATGGCCCACCCGCTTCCTTTTTTTTGAGGCTGCATCAAATTATAACATTTTTTTAAATTTCAGGCATACTTAGGTCATGTAGGTGGTGTAAGATCCTATTCTAAGTGCAGTGTTGGTGGGTCGAGTTTCTGCCGCGCCGTTTGAGTGCGAGAACAATAAAAAATACTCGCGTCAAGAACAGACCGCCCGAACTCGTACGGCCATTGCGTGAGAAAAGGTTTCTGACTATGTCAATAGAGGGCGCCGTTTCTTATGTTTTTTATCTCATGTAGAATTTTCGACGTTTTTATCCCAGATTTTCTCATTCCGAAACAAGCTGTTAATCGGGGAACAAAGTTTTTTCGATATGGTACACCATAATCTACATGTCTGTGAAGTTTTATAAAATTTGGCGAACCAGACCGCGTGGCTAGCGAAAAAAAGGCCTCGTCCCACGGACTATTACTGGTTTGACTGGAATCCTGCTGCTGCACAATTTTAACATGTTTTTAGATGGGGTAACGATCGAAAATCAGTCATCAGCCGACATTAGAAGAAAAAACTAGTAAAAAAAAAAGCCGCGTCGCCGCACCACTTTTGGGCAAAGCCCCATACGAGAAACCGAAGCCTTGTTTTTTTGGGCCTTAAATGTCTTTTTTTTGTTGTTAATGTTTCATGGGAAGAGATGCCTTAAAGCTGGTTGATAAAAACAACACGTTTTGAAATAAATTTTACATATTCATTTCATGTAGATGACATGAACTGCAAGTTCTAAAATAAAAATGTACACATTTCATTTCATGTAGTTGGGATCACTGCCCTAAGTCTCTGTTTCCCCCACAAAAACAAGTATTTTGTTTTTCCGCAAATAATCATTTAATTTGAATGAATTGCAATTTTTTTCATCTATTTTCCCCAAGGTTTGGAAAGCAAGGAGCCTGTCGGCCATGTGGCATGAGGTCACCTCTCCATCCATTGCCGTAGAGGGCGCTATTCAACACAGCCCGCATACACCAGAGATAGTTGAGTTAAGTTTTCTGAGCTGTCCAACAGCCATAGAAGGCTCTATAATGCTATCTTGTTTTTCGCCTAAACACACCCATCCCCCCCCAAAAAAAAAATTGAAAAAAAAAGAAACAAGAAATTTGTGTATCAATTCTTTGAAATTGAAGAGAATTGTTATAAACTGTACTTAAGTAGTTTATAGTGTAGCGCATTCAAATTAAACTCATGAAAATTGTTTGAAATTAGTGAATATGTCAGAAACCTTTCTTTTGTTTTGCTTTTAACCTTTATTTTTGTATATTTAATTTATTTTGTATATGAAAAGATGTCAGGCTACACATATTAGAAATTTGAACCAAACTTCAGAAACTGATGTTGGACACATTTCAATTATAGCATTATACGATGCACTTTTATGGCTTTGGACGGGTACCTTCATTGAATTGTATTGGAAGTCAGTATCTATGAGACACGTTACAACCTCGTCTCCAGCGATATAACCTTTTCTTCAAATGTTCCATGTTTATAAACGCGATGTTCAACTTCATTTTTCTTGAGTGATTTTATTAGTTAATCTTGCAGATCTTACTAGAATTGTTAAAACACAACCCCAACTCTCAATAAGGCAAAAAAAAAAAAAAAAACTCGGTCTCTGGTCAGCGCGCGCATCGATTTTAATCATGTGCGTCAACCTTTTTTTTCCTTCAAATTAACTGGAAGCTACAACAGCGCCCTCTATTGCCGCACCTCAAATTTTTGTACCAAGGAGCACCAAGGAATGGGGAAATTGCACCAAGGCTAATGATAAAGGGCACCAAGGCAAATTATGGAGGACACCGATGTATAATGAGGACACAAAAAAGCAAAATAGTACCCACCTTGTCTGTACAATTCAAGCTTGAAAAAAAAAAAGCCACCAAAAAAAAACGCTTCGCCGCATCAATTCCGGAACTTTGGTCTGACCAGAGACCGAGTATTTTTTTTTTTGGCCTAACAGTGTACATTTATAGGGCTGTCCGTTTCCAAATTAGTTAGTACTCGACTATTCCAAACTGTATTGAACGAATATTTGAATATATTCAAAATTTGCCGTTCAAGTTTCTCACATGCCAGCTGCAGCTGCCTTCCTCACTGGTCAAAATTTGCATACAAATTTGCATACAAATTTGCATACATCTTTAACGCGCAGGTTAAAGATTGCATTCTGTGATGGATATTATGGGCCACTGTAGTATTTTGCAGTAAGTATTGTATAAGTTGTCAAGGAACTTTACTCAGCTAAAAGATCTGGTACCAAATCATGATAGGCGTCAACTTTACGAGTATCACATCACAGTCGTTGGTACATAGCTTTTTCTTTTTGAATGTTCAAACCCGCTAAGGCCAAAAAAAAATATTAGTCGGTCTCTGGTCAGCGCGCGCGTCGATCTTTTTTTCTCCAAAATGTTCCGCGGTAGCTCCAACAGCGCCCTCTATTTCCGCACCTCCTCAATTTTTTTTACCAAAGATCACCAAGGAATGGGAAATTGCACCAAGGCAAATGATTGAAAGCACCAAGGCAAATTATGGAGGACAACAATGTACATGAGGACACCAAAAAAGCAAAATAGTACCCACCTTGTCTGTACAATCCAAGCTTGAAGAAAAAAAAAAAAGCGAAAAAAAAAAAAAACGCATGGCCGCGTCAATTTCGGAACTTTGGTCTGACCAGAGACCGAATATTTTTTTTTTTGGCCTAACTTACATTATTCAAATATTCGGTTGATGATCTAATATTCGAATATTCATATATTCAGGACAGCCCTACCAGTGTAGAAAATATTTGTTGTTTTGTGGAGCAACACCTTGACTGTGACTATCATTTGATCCTGAATTTGACAATTGAAATAAATGATACTGCCATCCGACTACAAAATTTGTCCCCACTCTTATTTTTGTATGTTAATGAGATCCCTCCAAAACTTTAAGGAAGTATTCAAATAGGATGGTTCCATTGGGACGTTTGAGGGGTGATCACTTTGATGCAAGGCAAGTAGCCTGTTTTGTCTATCGATGCCAAAAAATAACCTAAAATAATTCTTTGAATGCAACACATGCTTTGTCACGCTTGAAATGAATTATGTGTCATTTTCACGAAGGTGTACGAAATCAGAAAGACTTCAAAAGCCAAAAAGAATGCACTCTCACGAATCATGGATTTATTTCTAAGATGAAAAATGGTCAGTTTCTTTAATATGTATATTGAATTAAGGTCATTAAACCTGTTTGACATTTGACCTCTGTTGTCTGGATTATAGTTTATCAGTTTAAAATTGAATTCCATAGCACTGTTCTAAATTAAATTATATGGCTAACTCTATATACCCTTGCAAACTTCTCGCTGTTTGAGCTCAACATTTTTCAAATTCATGTGCATGCTTGTTGATCTATTGATATAGATCTATCTTGTAGGGCGCCATCTTCGTAGGAAAATCTGCGTTTTCAACACCATGAGGTGCGTGTGTGCGCAGTGTGCGAAATGTTCTAAAAATGTGCGCATGTTGCTCGAAATGTCTACAGAACACACAAAAATGTGACGCCCAAAATGCCGATGCACGTGACAATCTGTAGGAAGTGATGTCATTTGAGAAAAACCAATTAATGGTTGAAATTACATCGATGCAATGCCAAAATGCAAAAATCGAAGAAAAAAAATATAAACTATTAGAGTGTATGCCAAAGTCTGAAACATTTTCTTATTGTAATTTTTGGCACTAAGCTGCTTCAACTAAATGCTCTTAATCCCCCCCCCCAATAATAAACATTTAAAAAAAATGTAATCTTACAAATAATAATAATAATACAACTTATCACTTAAAAACACACACAAAACAGGAAAATGGCGGTGATGGCGGTGGAAATTAAAAAAATAAAATCAAGTTTTGAAACCCTGACCTTCTGTTTGCCTTCATTGCAACTAATAAGGCGAAGTAAAAAAAAAAAAATGTTTCTCGTCCCCGCCTGCTTCCTTTTTGGAGGCTGCCTGGATTTTTTTAATTATTTTTTATTTTTGAAAAATGTCGTAAAAAACACTGAAAAAGTCCACAAATCCATCGCAAAATAAATACCTATACCAATAAAACTCTAAATGACACTTTAGTAAATATGTTCAGTTCTCTTGTCCTAATTGTCTTTCATTTTTAAAAAGTGTCGTTGAACAGTGAAACACCAACGGTTGCAGGAAATTTTAAAATGGCGGCCATCTTGAAAAAAATAAAAATAAAAAATAAAAAGCCTTGCTTCCTTGATAAGACGAGAAACATGTTTTTTTTTTATTCGGCCTAATAATAATAATTTATAAATTTATATATCGCAAATTCTATCAAAATATATCCAAATGCCCTTTCCATAAACAGTCTTAAAATACACTTAAAAATACCAAAATCACTATATGGAGAATCAAGGATAAGAATTTATAAAATTAAGACATTACAAAGACCAATGAAATGTTAATCATTAAAATATCAAATCAGAAAGACATACACCAACTTTAAAACTAAGGACCAGGATTTTAAATAATAATAATAAAAACGGAAATATTGGGATATCCATTCTGTCGGCACTCTGTCGTAATGAAATCGTAAAAAAAAATTACATTTTTTTCTGTGTTTAACTTTGAATTACTCGTGCAATATTATCTAAAGAACATGTCATGGACAACTCCTTGATACGTAAATTTTCCCACTTTCTCTTCTCATCAAAATGTGCTGTAATTGTACCTTTCAATTCATCAGAAACCGAGAAAAAATTCCGAGATTCGCAAACGTCAAGTAGAAAAATTAAAATGTGTAACCTAGCTTACTACTGAAAAAAGCATTCAATTTGCACCAGCACCAGACTATCATGTGACTTCTAAAAACCTTGGAAAATAGAGGGCGACAAATTTACAAAGAATCGTTGAAGCATGAAAACCTACTCCAACAGCAGACTACACGTTAAAATGAGGAAGGCCCTTCAACCAGGTTGGATCAAGACCCTCACTCCAAGAGGTCTACATCCATCTCAAACACACTGCAACCAGCATCCCATCAGCATTCTGTCACCAGAGTCTCACTTCAACATGTATCTCTGTGACTGAGAGCCCAGGTCCATCCATGTTCTACCATATGTCTACAAGCTTTGACCAGTGTGCTTATCTCCAAAAAGAAAAAAGCTGAACTACCAGTCTGACTGTTTGAGCTGCGAAGACAGATCTGGACTCCCAGGGTTTCCTACCACCAACAGGACTTAAGATGAGAAGTCTGCAATATCCAACTCTAATGCTTCTGTCTAGCAAGTACAGAAGTCCCAAAACCTAAGTCCAGCCCCATCAACTGTTAGTCCAACAAGTTCCAAGACCCACAAAATCCTAGTCCTATCAATTTGCAGACCTATAAATTTGGAAGCCCTTCAACTAATAGTCCAGTTCCCTCTAAATCATCAACCAGCCAGCCAGAGTCCGAAAACCCACCCTCCAGCTCGAAACCCCCTCAGCTCCCAACTTTTAAAAACCCAGCCTCAGACCCTCAGATCTGGAAAAATTTTAAGGGGTACCCCTTGATTCTGAAACTCTGGCCAGAGCTGAAAAATTTTCTAAGTCCAAACCCAGCCTCAGACCCTCAGATCTGGAAAAATCTTAAGGGGTACCCCTTGATCTGAAATTCTGGCCAGAGCTGAAAAATTTTCTAAGTCCAAACAACCTAAGGGTTTTAATTACGAAAACCGGAGAGTTTTTCAAGAAAGTGCCATGGCAGAGCGGGAAAAAAGAGAGCTGGCATGCAGAGGGTACGCGGTTCAACCCTGCTCCATGCTACTATTTTATTTATTTTTTAAAATTTACCTCTGCTGTGAGGAAAAATTCTCCTCCCGGGTCCCCGGCTGGGATTTGATCCGGGGACCCCGGCCTGGCGGTCAGCGAGCTAGACCGCCGGGCCACTGGCTACTTCTGAAAAATTTTCTCGGACGTTATATTTAAAGGTTAGATTGCGCAATGTTTTTAAAAAAAAAATTGGGGGGGGGGGGTGGCCCCCCCCAGGCAGCTGGAAATTACCATTGGCTCATTTGAATAACACAAAGCAGGAAACTGAATATTCATATA